TAAAGTAGAGACTCTACATACTGATATACACCTGAACATCAGCAGGAGAGGGACTCTTTAAAGTAGAGACACCACATACTGATATACACCTGAACATCAGCAGGAGAGGACTCTTTAAAGTAGAGACACTACATACTGATATACACCTGAACATCAGCAGGAGAGGACTCTTTAAAGTAGAGACACTACATACTGATATACACCTGAACATCAGCAGGAGAGGACTCTTTAAAGTAGAGACACTACATACTGATATACACCTGAACATCAGCAGGAGAGGACTCTTTAAAGTAGAGACACTACATACTGATGTACACCTGAACATCAGCAGGAGAGGACTCTTTAAAGTAGAGACACTACATACTGATATACACCTGCACATCAGCAGGAGAGGACTCTTTAAAGTAGAGACACTACATACTGATATACACCTGAACATCAGCAGGAGAGGACTCTTTAAAGTAGAGACACTACATACTGATATACACCTGAACATCAGCAGGAGAGGACTCTTTAAAGTAGAGACACTACATACTGATATACACCTGAACATCAGCAGGAGATGACTCTTTAAAGTAGAGACACTACATACTGATATACACCTGAACATCAGCAGGAGAGGACTCTTTAAGTAGAGACACTACATACTGATATACACCTGAACATCAGCAGGAGAGGACTCTTTAAAGGAGAGACACTACATACTGATATACACCTGAACATCAGCAGGAGAGGACTCTTTAAAGTAGAGACACTACATACTGATATACACCTGAACATCAGCAGGAGAGGACTCTTTAAAGTAGAGACACTACATACTGATATACACCTGAACATCAGCAGGAGAGGACTTTTTAAAGTAGAGACTCTACATACTGATATACACCTGAACATCAGCAGGAGAGGACTCTTTAAAGTAGAGACACCACATACTGATATACACCTGAACATCAGCAGGAGAGGACTCTTTAAAGTAGAGACACTACATACTGATATACACCTGAACATCAGCAGGAGAGGACTCTTTAAAGTAGAGACACTACATACTGATATACACCTGAACATCAGCAGGAGAGGACTCTTTAAAGTAGAGACACTACATACTGATATACACCTGAACATCAGCAGGAGAGGACTCTTTAAAGTAGAGACACTACATACTGATATACACCTGAACATCAGCAGGAGAGGACTCTTTAAAGTAGAGACACCACATACTGATATACACCTGAACATCAGCAGGAGAGGACTCTTTAAGGTAGAGTACATACTGATATACACCTGAACATCAGCAGGAGAAGACTCTTTAAAGTAGAGACACTACATACTGATATACACCTGAACATCAGCAGGAGAGGACTCTTTAAAGTAGAGACACTACTGATATACACCTGAACATCAGCAAGAGAGGACTCTTTAAAGTTTGTGTTGACATTTGAAAACATTTAACAGAACTTAAAGGTGGGGTAGGTAATTTTGGAGAAACCGGCTCGAGATCGCTAGAATTTGAAAATACACAGCCGGAAGAAATCTCCCACTTCCTTACAGAGCCCCTCCTCCAACACACACGAACGCGCACGTGACCAATGAGGGCACGAGATAAGTTTGTGCACAGATGGAAGGCTGACAGGCAGGTAGGCCATCCAGTTATTTTAGCCGGGCCGGCTAAAATGATTGGTCGTGCTTTTTACAGTACTACGGCTTCCACAGATGACATTTTTTTATGGATTTTTTGTCAAAGCACTGAAGATATTCATTGCTATCGGGATGTTAAGAGCATTCCATGGAATATAACAAAAAGTGTATCTCGAGCCGGTTTCTCAAACTTACCTACCCCACCTTTAAGAGACATGTTAAAAACAGCTTGGTACTCAAATTGCCAACCTTTGGTTCAGATTAGAGGATCTTGAGTACTGAAAAGATCCCTAATATGCAGTTGTTTGTAATTTTCTGCAAATGTTCTTTTTGAGTTAATCAGTTGCATAACTTCGTACTTTTGGCTCATTTTCAAACCCCCAGCTTTGTTTCCATTGTCCTCCACTGACTTTGCCAGCTTAGCAAATAAAGAGAGGATTAAAATAAATGAGCGGGGATTGATCCTGATGCTCGATGAGGGGAAGACGGATGGCGCCGCGAAGCAAAAGGGACGAAGACAACGGTCCTGCAGAAGATAAATGGCCCCGCTTTGTGCTGCAGAGGAGGTTTTTATCAGGGCATCAAAACACTGAGGATAACCATCATCATATTCATCATCACTATCATCATATTCATCATCACTATCTTCATCATCATCATCACTATCAGCGTTTATCGTTTACTACATGATGCATCCAGATAGTGTTGGAGTCCCTGTGATAATGTTAGTGAGGCCAGGTGTGAATTAACAGAATACAACTCACTGGATTACAAGTTAATACAGAGTTTTATTGGAAGTAAAAGCAGCACTTTTTAACATTGAGGCAGGTGACAATCTCAATCTTTATTTATTTATATAACACATTTAAAACAACCTCAGTTGACCAAAGTGCTGTACAGGGAACAAATATAAAATAACACAATAGGAGTAAAATAATAAAACAATAATTAAAAACAATATAAAAAGCACAATAACTAGAAACATATAAAAACACATACAAATATCAAAATGTTGTGTTCAACTAGTATTAAAAGCCAGTGCAACATTTAATTTAATAATAATAATAATAATAATAATAATAATAATAATAATAATAATAATAATAATAATAATAATAATACATGTTATCTTGTATTGCACACTTTTAACACAACATCATCTCAAGGTGCTTCACAATTCAATGAGAGTTAAAAATGATCTACGAAACATATTTTTTAGAAAGCAGGACGTAGAACACGGGAGCTTAATTTAAAAACAGAGAATACAAGGTACAAAGAGAAAACCAGGACAGTCAGTAAAACTCGGTGCGGAAAAGGAGGGTCTTAAAGTCCCATGTCATGCTTTTCCAGTTCTTACCCGTCCCCTTGTGTGTAATGTAGCTTTTTCTGCATGTAAACGGTCTGCAGAGTCACAAACCCTCAAAGTACACCCTGTAGCGAGTAAAACTCTAATGCTGCGTTCACACCGGACGCGATGCGATGTTTGGGGGCGGCGCGATTACATGTAAAGTCAATGCAGAGACGCGGACAGACGCGAATTCGCTCCGACGGCGCGCATGAAGCAGTGGACGCGGCGCGAATCACGCGATTGAGGCGATTGAACGGTGCCGCGTTAAACGCGAGAGTTCAATTTTTTCAACTCGAGCGTCAAATTCACGTGACGCGTTCTCGCGGAAGCCAATCAGCGGTGAGGATCTCAGCCTGCCGTCACTGACGTTCAACCACACAACATCCAACATCAGCCGTTAGCTGTTAGCACACAGAGCTCACAGCTCCTCATATCTGTTCAGAAACTAGACACAAGTTAAACAAGTACAAACCACAGACTGTCTGTGTCATGGTGAATACAGTCGCTGGTTTATTTATGTCTGTAGACCGTTGTTATGAGTGTGGAATGAGCATATACAACGTTAGCTTAGCCTGGTCGACCCGATCTTCATTCAGAAAACAAGCATTTTAAAAGATTTTTCGCCTGCCGTCTGTCTGCAGACTTGTCAAGCATTAATTCATGGTTTTTACAAACCGGTATCAGTATGTTGTTACTTCGGCATCATTTAGAAACATGTATTACAATTTAATCACGGTAAAATATGTTCATTTTGTTGTAGTTGTAGCTCCCGAGCCAGCGCGTCTTGTTTGAATGATGCGAGTAAACACAGCTGGCAGCCGCGGTGAAACTCGAGAGTTTAGAGCGATGCGATAGGAGCGATTGGAGCGAAGCGAATATTCGCATCGCGTCCGGTGTGAACGCAGCATAACACAGAAAAGACCTGTCTATGCTGCCCCAGAACACCTCGTTGGAGATTTCTCTTTTTCCATTGTTTACTTCTTGGGAAGAGTGACTTAACGTCAGCCAGGGTGCGGGTGTGTGAGTGTTTCGGGCTGTGTCTCGCTGTCTCGCAGACGGCCACTGGGCTCACAGGGAGGGGGGGGGGGGGGGGGCAGGAGCTCCAACTAGCCGTTTAGGACAGAGAGTGAATACACATACTATACAGAGATGCTGTATGAGAAACCAATGTGAGTTTGGAACATTGAACAATATAGATCTATTTTAGTAGACCTCAACAATGGAATTATGATCAGTAGAAATGGCCATGACATGGGACCTTTAACACAACATCATCTCACGGTGCTTCACAATTCAATGAGAGTTTTTTTAGAAAGCAGGACGTAGAACCCTAGGGAGCTTAATTTAAAAACAGAGAATACAAGGTTCAAAGAGAAAACCAGGACAGTCAGTACATGTTGGTGCAGAACAGGAGGGTCTTTAGGCTTTTCTTAAAAACTGAGAGTGATGCAGACGTGTTTTTAATTGTTGTTCAGTAATGGATTGGATCTTCAGCAAACTCCATAAGTAAATTGAAGACCTATCTTTTTAATTTGGCTTTTAGTTTGGGGTCATTTTAGTGGTATCACTGTTCATGTTTTATTGTTTTGTGATATAACTCTTTATTTTTCTTTATAACTTGTTTTAATTATGCTCCTAACTCTTAGTTAGACAAATACCAATACTTCATTTATGATGGATGTCACAGCAGTAATAATAGAATGAAATACAATAGAAATAAACATAAACATTTAAAACAAAATATACATAGGCTATTCTCAGTAGAAAAGACAAATATTCAGAGGAGTATCTACACACTATAACATATACAGAACCATGTATAATACTCTGTAATATCTAGTAAAGGGACAGAAACATACCGTAGGTGCAGTTAAATATGTCCTGTTATGTTGTGCAAGTAGGCTGCAATATGTAGGTACAGTATGTTATTTTAATAAGCAACATGGTTTTATTTATTACCTGTTTTTATCATATATTCCTCTGCAGTGCATCCTCCTCATATATCTGTCCCCATGGCAACAACATCAGGCTGACGTCACAGCTCCATTGTCCTCATGCTGATGCTAACAGGCTAACAGGAGAGCTGCTGCTAACAGGCTAACAGGAGAGAAAACAGACACAAGAGTGAGTTATCATGATGTCTCTTTCCTCTCTATTTCCTCTCACTTTCACCGCAATTATTGTGAAGTTCAATCGGATTTAACAGCGTTGTTTCGCTGCCTCCAACGGCTAACTAACGGCTAATTAACGGCTAGCCCAGCTGTGTGATTAGCATGTGATGCTAACGTGTGTTTAGCGCAGCTTTTGCACCTTTTCCCGTCTCTTTTTATCAGTGTAAACTGCTTTTCTAACCTGTGATGATGTTCTCGTGCTTATATGTGTGAAGTGGAGTTAATGATTTGCATAACAAAGCCGTCTGTTTGACGGGAGAGGCTAATGTTAATGTTAGCAACAGATAGCTCTTATGCTAAGTAGCTGAAGGATGTGAGGAGGTGCAGCTGCAGTAAACCAGTCAGTGTGATGTTTTACGGGATTAGTATGCATGCATTTACGTGTTAGATGAGAGGGAATCTGTGTGGTTAGGTATTGTCTGAGTTTTTCAAGCATTTTCTAGCATTTTGGTCACGTTATTGTTGCAGCAGTGCCCTTTGTTTGCTAACTCTATGCTAACAGCTGCAGTTTGCACATGAGGAGCGTTTATTTCAATTCAATTCAAGGCTTTATTGCCATTTGTACAGTAGCTACAGTGTTGATATGTCAATGAAAAACTTCCGTCACAGGCTCCTCCAACAATGCAACATATAAATATAGGACATGGCACAAATAAAACAGATAAAATAGTGCAAGTCAATACAGATCAAATATAAATGAATCTCATCTTAATATATCATCTTCAATGTTGCCTGTTATTAAAGCTGGAGGGCTTAATTCATGTTTAATGAAGTCACAGTGGTCTGTGTTAATGTCTGCATGATGTAAACAAACACCAGTAGATGTGATGAGACCTCAAATCTGAAACTAGGACTGATGCCTTTCTCGGTGATTCAAGAGTCAAAGGTTTTATCATCTTATGAATAGCAGCTGCAGTGTAGATATAGCAATGAACATCTGAAGTCCTAGGCTCTTTCAACAATGCAACATAATATAGAAGACCTAAAACAATAAGGGATGTTACAACTATCTTGTAACTATAGTAAAGTATATGTAAAATAGAATAAGATGAGCTTGTTGTCTTCATAGATTAGCAGATGTATATGTTAACCTGCTTCCTATACATGCAGAAAAGTGATCTGTTTTGGTATATAAGACACTTTTATAGGTTGCATTTTTATTCTGCACATAGATCTAGTGCTGCTTGAATGTGCTGTGAACACGAGGTTAAGTGAGGTTTTGGAGGCAGAAGAACTTTGTTAGTGTATTAAAAAACCTGAATCCTTACATTAGAGTGATGCAGAGATGTGGTGGCATAGACTCTTAGCTGTATTTCTACAAGGTTTCCTACTGTGTGTTGAACTATATGGTGCCCTTGGTTGTTTACGTATTTAAAAGCAATATGAAACACAATCTTGCACTAGATCTAAAGTGGGATATACCGTTGTCTACTTTACGAGCTTGGTGCTTGAACGTTTCTAAAACTTTGAAGTAGATTCAGACTTGTTCCCCCGCCACAATAACCTAGAATACCAAAATGAATATCACATAAGTTCCACTTCTTGTTCAGCTTTATGATAAATATACATACATGTTTTAACAAAGTTATACTCATCATGATGAAGTTACGTAAACTAATCAAAGAGATTGTTGCTTCAGCCCAGAGATAAAGCTTGTCATCTAATTATGGACATATCAGTCCTTGATATACGTATATTTAAAGACAGAATTAATGTTCCTTTGACAGTCTGTTTTATACAATCAGTATCCATTCAATGCTTTGAGGACATCTCTCTCTCTGTTATGTGTGGGAGCTTCAGGCAACGCTTTAATTACAGGTTGTTATCAGTGCAATAGCATAGACAGACAGATAGATAGACAGACAGATAGATAGATAGATAGATAGATAAATAGATGGAGAGATAGATGGAGAGATAGATAGACAGACAGATAGATAGATAGATAGATAGATAGACAGACAGATAGATAGACAGACAGATAGATAGACAGACAGATAGAGAGATAGATATAGATAAATAGATGGAGAGATAGATAGATAGGTAAACCGTATTTAATTTAGTCTTAATGTACATTATTTAATTTCATATTCTGTTCTTGTATATATATAATATTCTATTTACATGTATATAGACTTCTTGCACTATTTTTAATTGTTGTATTTTATTATATATGTTGCATTGTTGGAGGATCTCAGGTCAGAAGAATTTAATTTCCATTTCTACACTGTAGCTGCTGAGCATATGACAATAAAACCTTTGAATCTTTTGAATAAAGCAGGATATTATATAGACATTCCCAGCTAACTTTAACTCTGTGTTTGCAGTGGACCGAGGTGTGAAGCGGCGGCAGGTGAAGCCCCTCGCCGCCTCCCTATTGGACGCCTTGGATTATGACAGCTCCGACGACAGTGACTTTGAAGTGGGCGACGCCACAGGTAAACAGGAAGACATCAGCGGCATTATTGGATTTCACATAACCCTAACCACTTGTTTGGGACACATCTTAAAAGATAACATCATGATCATTTTAATATATATATATTTTTAAACGTTTCAAAAATAATCATTCCCTCTTATATTGAGAATCTGATTTCAACTCTTATAACAGTTAAAATAATCTAATAAATCCTTTTTTTTGCAGCCCTACCATCACATCAACCTCTACCAACATCTAATACATGTTTAGTTTAAACAATTTGAACCATTTCTTTGCAAAATGAGAAAAATTTGGAAAATTTCAAATCTATCTAAACGCCTTTTTTTGCATTTTCTGAACAATTATCAACTCGTTAACTCAAGCCAGCTTTGCCCTATCCAGTTAGGTGCGCGTTCACATGAAAGGGGCGGGGTTAGCAACATTTGACCAATCACAAACATGGAGAAGCGTACTGACAGCGCAGCGTCATGCTTCCTGAATGAAAAGTGAACTTTAATATTAGTCAAATATGAAGAAGTTAAACTTTAAACATCCATGACTTAAACACTTTATCCAGGATCAAAGCCACATAGCTGCAGCTGCAAGGTGAATACAGCTGGTAACAGAAAAAGTGTTTGAATGCGTACATTAACAGGTTTATGAAATCACTGCCCCGTCCAAGACACGAGTGGATCTGACTTTAATTACATTTGACTCGAGTGTTTCGTCAACTTAATGTGTTGCTTAAAATAATACTTCTGCATACAGTATGTGACACTGTGAGTGTTGCACGGCCAGATACGGCTCAAGAAGCTGACTCAAATAAGGAAATATATGATACATTATGATGTGATATGATATGAATGATAATGGGACACATCGACGTCTGCACTCACAGTGTCGCGGACTGTACTTAATGTTACTCTGATCCGGTTACTTATGTTGTGGCAGATATTTAAGTAAGCTTTCTTAACGCTAATGTTATAATAGTCAGATTGCTCTGAAGATGGGAGGGGATATTCTATTAATGTTCACGTTCACACAGTCAGTTGATTTTGGCCAGCCGTCTTTCCTGCAACGGCAGTTTTTCTGTATTTCCTCTATCCTGTAATATGACTTGATAGCTTTAAACTCCGCACACGGAGCTCTGATTGGTCAGCAGGCGGTGCTTTCACTGAGTTGATCTCTTATCCTGCAACCTAACCTGCTCCGGAGCAGGTTAGCCGTTCAGCATAAGTTACCATGGAGATCTAGCCCGCTAAAAAGAGAACCAGCGTCGTAGGACCGGAAACCCAGAGTCTTCCCTGAAGTTAGCGGCTAAGAGAAAATCCGGCTTCGTAGTACAGGCCTCTGGACTTTCAGGACGATCTCATTTGTTCTCTGTTTTGATTTTGTTGTTGTTATTTGTTATTCTCTTCTAGGATCTGACGGCACAGGAAACGGCAGCGATGAAGAGGAGGGATCCAAAGCGAGCGCCGCCGGATCAGAAAGCGACTCAGAAAACGCCGGCTCTGCAGACGAAGCTATCGACGAGAACGAAGCCAAAGACTTGGCAGCGGACGAAAATCTAACGGAAGAGGAACACAAATCAAAACAACCGCCTTCTTCCTCCGATGGATCCACGAAAGAAACCCCTATTGTTCCAGCGACTAAAAGCAGACGGAAGAGCAAGAAAACGTCCGGTCCAGAGCCGGAAAAAGACCTGGAAAAAGACCTGGAAAAAGACCTGGAAAAAGACCTGGAAAAAGACCTGGAAAAAGAGCCGGAGTCCGAATCAACGTCTGGAAACACGGAGGAAAATCAAACCGAGACGAAAAAGTGGAATTTCAGGAGGAACCGACCTCTTCTGGACTTCACCACCATGGAGGATCTGAACGAAATGGACGACTACGACAGCGAGGACGACAACGACTGGAGACCGAGCGTTGGGAAGAAGAAGGGAAAGACTGGGGGTCAGAAAGGAGGAGGAGATGAGGAGGAGGAGGGAGGCAGCGCTAGTGACGACGATGATGATGACGATGATGATAATGATGATGATGACGACGACGACGATGATGATGATGATGATGACGATGATGACAAGGAGGATGGGCAGGAGAACAGTAACAACAACAAAGATACTAGCAGTGACAGTGACAAAGACTTGAAGAAACCCAAGAAGAAGACGAAGAGCAGCAATGCCTTCGATGAAGAGCTGACCAATGACAGCATGTCTCAGGGGAAGAGCAACGAGGTGAGTTGAAGGACATGTTGTATTTTTGTGCTGCAGCATGTTGTTCTGCTGTCTCGTCTTTTGAGAAATGGCACTGAAAAGACGAGACAGTCTAGTTTTGTGGATCCATAGACACATTTTAAAACTCAATAGTGATCCATCAGGTTACAGCATGTTCCGTCTATATGAAATAACTAGGGATGCTCCGATCGCCAATTTTGGGGCCGATCGCTGGAATCAGTATCGGCCGATACCGATCGCCGATCCGATCGAGTGGGCGGGGCCTATGGGGATCTTCCATTTAAAGTGATGTTTAAAACTCAGTTAATGGGGCTCATTCTCTGGCGCTTCCACAAACAACAACCAACATAATTATTACATTCAAATGAAGTACATTATTCAAGTTTTCATTAACTTTGGATAATAACACGGGAGAAAAGAGCGGAAGCGCTCTCTTTTCCTCTCTCTCTCTCTCTCTCTCTCTCTCTCTCTCTCTCTCTCTCTCCCCTCTCTCTCTCTCCTGACAGCCTGTCGGTATCTCCTGCAGCTCACTGATCCAGTAATGAGTGACCCGACAGTGAAGAATAAATATATGTATAACTAGTTTAGCTTGCTCCAGAGGTAGATAAAATAGCTAAGTGTGTTAGGTCTAACTCTTAGTGTGTGTTCTGCTCCGCTCACCGGTCCGTCACAGCTGGCGGAGCTGCAGGATTTCTGCTTCACACACACGTTGCATACCGCTATTTTATTGTCATTTTCGGACACCTTAAAATATTGCCAGACCGGTGAAGCCATTTTGGCGAGCTTCTTTTGCCGCGCACAGAGAAAAGTGTCATGTATTTTATGTCATGTCATCGGCTCTCCTAATCGGCCTTTATAGAGAGCACCGATCGATCGGCAGAGAGTGAATATCGGCCGATAACGATCGGCGGCCGATCGATCGGAGCATCCCTAGAAATAGCATGTGGAATAGCTGAATTTTACGCATTTTTAGAAATCTAGTGCAAAATGAACATCAGTTTTAAGTGAAATTATAGAGAAAAAACTATATATAAATGCAACAGACCGTTACAAATCATACAGAGATATCAGATGTCAGAGAGAGAGCAGGCATACAGCAGATTTCTAGCTAATTTCACCATAAGGGCAGCAGCAATTAGACAACTAATCAATTAGACCATTGCCGCCGTAGACAGAAACATTTTGGGAAAAGCTGAAGCTGTTTGTAATGGAAGCTAACAGTAACGTTAGCTTTCAGTAAAGTTAGCTCACAGTAGTGTTAGCTTTTAGTAACGTTAGCTTTCAGTACCGTTAGCTTTCAGTACCGTTAGCTTTCAGTAGTGTCAGCTTCTTAAATGTGAGAAAACTGTTTTGGGAAAATCTGTAAAATTCACAATCGGTCCACAAACTTTTTTCCAGTTCAGTTGAAAAGTGTTAATTGTAGTAACAGCAGCTTACTCAGACTGTCTTGTTTACCTTTTCTCTGATATGATATAGCCTGATAGTCACAGTTGTGTTATTATACTTTAGTTTAATTCGGTCAGACTTCTTGTTCCCCCTTCTTTGTTCTCAGTGAGAGAAACTAAACTAAATCTTTCCTCCCCACATTATAGTCCTTTTATAAACCGCTGCTCATGAATGAGGTATTTGGCTTCTTTGCACTCCAAACAACAGCCGCATATAATCCAACGAGAGGTTTGGATGCTATCGCAGTGACTCCAGGAGAATTGGACTTAGCGCAGTGACTCCATGAGCATTGTATGTGGGATTTACCAATGTTGATAAGTGGCTTTACTGTGTCTCTGTTTCTGATTTCCCAGGATGCTTTGCTGGACCGCGCTCAGACCTGGACGGCTCAGCACATCCTGATCTGCTGCGTCTGTCTGGGAGACAACAGCGAGGACGCAGACGAGATCATTCAGTGTGACAACTGCGGGGTGACCGTGCACGAGGGTGAGGTTTAGTTTAGTTTAGTTTATCTGTGTATAGTGTCGTGGACAGTCCCCATTAATCAACTGTCACAGAAAACAGTAAATGGGGCAGCTTTAGCAAACATTGCTTATTTCCAGATGATAATAGACACCTTTTTAAAATCACAATACATCGAGAGCATTAGTTATAAAGAAAGGATGAAAGACAAGTAGATAGAGGAGAAAGGATAAAAGAGAACAATAACAACACACGTGACTACATACATGTCACACATAGCACGTCACAATCACACAACAGACATGATCACAACATGTAACACAACATGTAACACAACATGTAACACACACTCCATATCCAACACAGACTAGTGTGTGCAGCTTCTCAGTGAACCATGTTTTTGGGTAGTTGCTCAATGAAGTAATGCATTACACATTACTACTGCTGGAAGTAATGATATATAGATTAGTAATAAGCGTATTATTATTATTATTAATGAGTTACACTACTAGTTACATTACATATGGACTCTGTAACATCACCTGAACATATAAGTTGCAAAGTAGGTACAAAAAAAAAGGAAATGTGTAAGGATAATGGTACCGTGCACGAGGGTGAGTGTGGAAGTTACTCTACGACAGTAATGCATTACTAGTTACTCACTGCTGGAAGTAATGAGTTACACTACTAGTGACATTACTTTTGGACTCTGTAGCATCAGATAAGATCAGAATCAGGTTTATTACCAGGTAGGGTGACGCATACGAGGAATTTGACTTGATATCACGGTCATAGCAGCATCATAAAAAACAACAAAACAAGGCATTGCACATAAGTAGAAATTAAGGAGTAGAAATAAAAAATACTAGAAATTCAACATCTCAAAATAAAATTAAAGCTGCATTTAAAAAGTAGGAAATATACAGTAGACCGTGAAGTTAACACATCTATAAACTCTGACAATAAAACACTATTAAAGGGCTTTAGACACAATTTAGCATTCAAAAAGTAATGCTAAAGACAAGTGTTTACACCAAATTTAAATGTAACTATACAAAGAACCTTAAAAGCTAAAAAACAAGAACACATAGGACAGTGAGTATATATGGCTAACTGTAGTGTATTATATTTTAAACTACAGGGTATTGTATTTTAAAGTAGAGGGCTGTGCAGACGTGTATGCAAAAAGCAGTCAGAGGGTTGAGCATGAACACGGCTCAGTATGTCTTGTAAAGATGGCGATTCCTCCGTCCAAACGGGCGACGTTTCCTCCACGATGTTCGCCGCAACCATCCCGTTTATCTCTGCTATGAGACTTTCTCCTCCGTCTCCTCGTCCATGAACTCTGAGTGTAGCGCGAAAGAAGCAGCTAGAAACGGCAAACTTGGTGCACATAAGCAGTGGGAAGAGACCATCCCTCACACCAAATGTCATCCCTCTACCAATTCCCAGTAGGCAGTTATATGAGGATCATAACCCTTTTTGCTTTAATGGGAGTCAATGGCAGCTAAAAGGAAGATGCTCGAGGCATGAAACTTAGTTCAAATCAGAGGACACATCACACACCGCACATTTCATGACTCGAGCACGCAGTAACTAGATAATATCCTGCTTATAACTGTAATTACTGCGTCACAGACAAATGTAATCTGATTACATTTCACGGGGTATAATGACTCAAAAGCGTGTGGATTCATGCAGAGCCTCTAAAATCAGTGCAGGTATTTGTCTTTGACTTCAAAAAATGAGTGCGTAGGAAACGGATCAATAACCCTGTGAGACTGGGACCGTGCAAATTGGATCAATGTGACGCCACTAATTCTCAATCACTTCATATATTAATTAATTCACCCTTGTTGCACCTCAATAATGAAGCTTTTATAGATGTTAAACTATAAGAGTCTGAGCCACACATGCATTGGTGTTGGTGGTTTATGTATTGGTTCTTGATAAGAATATGAATTTTAAGTATGGAAACGGATTTAATCACATCGCTGGTTCTTCATAATAAACTAAATTGAGAATTGACCCTCTTTATTACACATCCCTCAGTACATACATATCTTTTATTTGGTGTTCTGTAATATGGACACTATGAAACTGATCCAAATGAATGGAAAACAAACCATAAGGATTAATTTCACGAGGATTCAGACCGGCCAAAACCTGACTAAGCGTTGTATATTACTGTAGTATTTGTTAGGGAATAATTTGCTTAGGTATTCAACCTTCGACACAGTTCATCATGTTCTCCTCTCACTGTCTCCTTTCCCACGGCATAGGTCTACGGCCTGGGGTTCTGCTGCTATCTCTCTTAAGGAGGAGCAGCTTGGGCGCGTTGTTGTTGCCAGTCTATGACCGAGCACAAGCCGCCATGAGGTCGTTTACTGTTCAGGGACGTAGGTTCCCTGGCGCACATTCTTTCCTATGGACGAGAGCTCTAGTTAGATTCAGGGTCCATATTGCTTTAGTCTCACTGATAAAGAATGTTGATTATTTCACTCTGAACTAGTTAAAACATCGAGCTACAGAAAGAGTTCTTCAGAATTGGTTTGGCAACCGCTGTGTCAACTCGTGACACACCACCTGTCTCGTCAATACTCCGGCCGTAACTCCAAATAAACCGTCAGTGTTTGCCATCAAAGCTCCAGCTCTCCTCGTGAGTCCTGTTTCCAATTGCTTCAGAAGTTTCCCCCACATTGTTAACGACTGAATACTGACAGTTAACAGACTTTTCTGTGTTAATTAAATAACTAGCACATGTTCACACATGATATAACGTAAAAAAAACTTGCATTGACACTCTAGCATCTCTGTGATTGGCTGATGTGTAACAGGGTCTCGCCCTGAAGCAGTGAACACCTTTGAGAAGGATTGTTAGAATGTCTAAGACACACACACACACACACACACACACACACCTCTGTCATGTACACGCACACCTCTGTCATGTTCACACACACACACACACACACACCCACACCTCTGTCATGTTCACACACACACACACACCTCTGTCATGTTCACACACACACACACACACCTCTGTCATGTACACACACACGCACACGCGCGGTGTCTGCGTTGTGTGTTTTTTTTTTAGGATGAGACCCGAGCATACCGTCGAGCCGATCTCCGTTTATTCACTGACAACAGATAACACATCAGTCGTTAACATATATTTAGTTTTCCCTCACACTTCCACTCCTCTCCCGTGGAACACATGGATGAAGAGGGAGGAGGAAAACTTGAGGGACACAATATGAAGAGGGGGAAGTCCCCATAAAAATAATCGTCTGTGTACAACAACTGCATTTTGGAGGTTCTGCCCACTGATTTCAGACCTATTCAGGTTTTTAACGTTTAGTGAATAAATATCACAGAATTATTAAATACAGAACACAGAATTTGTGTGATTATAATAAGTGAATTATAATACAAATATTTGACACTGAACACTACTGCATATTTACAATTGTTAACCTTTAAAGTCAACATGTGAGCTGGATTTTATTCAGCATGTACGTAGAGTCGCACCTGTACAATTAATGCTCCATAGCGTCTGAAGATATATACACACACACACACACACACACATGCACGCACGCACGCACGCACGCACGCACGCACACACACTCACAGACTGTAGGGTGGACACCGTCCTAATCACCAACTCTCCACGGACAGACACCAGATATTAGGAGCAGGTTTTAAATTATCTCGTTAGTTCGTTTGGTTGGTATTTTCTTCCTGGAGGACGTGTCTAATCTCTGGAAAGACTGAAGTGAGACTCCTATCTGCCTCTCAAAGGACAGGAAGGCTTTGGGTCAGTTAAATAGTAATGAGCTTGAGTTCCTGTGTACTTTTTTGTCACAATCTCTTGTTTATTTAGGGTTAATTATCAGTTGTAGTTTAATTTACAGTTATTAGGAGCAGATTTAAAATGATCCCGTCTGGTTGGTTGATATTTCGTTCCTTTAGGACGTGTCTAATCTCTGGAAAGACGGAAGTTAGACTCAGTTGTATGCAGGAGAGAGGAGGTCCTTTCTACCTCTCCAACCATATTCTAGTAATAAACTTCCTGTACTTGTGGTCTAATGGATGTATCTATTGGAGGTTTTATTCAATACCTCATCATTTTCTTGTCACAATCTTGTTTATTTAGGGTGTATTATCAGTTGTAGTTTATTTTACAGTACAGATCTTAATCTGCTCCTCACACTCCTTACATTACGATACATCACAACCTTAAAATATACAATTAACTGGAAATAAAGAGACCTTAGCGCTCCTCCACCTGTCTTATCTGCATACAGAAAGGCCAAAATATACATATGCCTTTGCTTTTCCAATTTGTGTGTCTCAGACATGACAAAATGTCTGCATTATGCATTTATGCGTTCACCATGGTAATGAAGTCACAATGTCTCCAGTCCCCCCCCTGCATGTTTCAGTGCCATTCAGCGACAAAACAGACCAGTTATTAGTCAGAAATGATGATAACATGTATCATTACTTATTATTTAAATATATATATTAATGTGTTTCCTATGTTTGTGGAAGGTGCATGCATTTGATTGGGGTCCAGCACAAAAGTCGTGTGCCGTTCAATTAACATATGCAATTTCACATGATTCTGGACCATTATCTGAACCGTGTCTGTGTCCAATAAACCTAGAGAAAATAAGAAATACACAACACCAAAAAAGCCTTTAGACTGAACATAGTGACATCACTATGCAACACTCACGATCCTATTGGATAGAAGCGGAAATTGGGGCTGCAGAATTATCGTAATATGGACTAGTGGAATATCCACACGTCTGTTGAAGAATTTTGGTGCTGAATATCGTTTGTAGGCGATTCTACATAAAAGTAACCGCTCTATATTCTTTGCAAGATGGATAAGTCAGAATTGTATTGCTAGAGACGTCAGTATCTGTATTGCTAGGGACATCTGTAGCGATATCTGTATTTCCAGAGACATCCCACCCTGCTAAAAGGTGTCTCGTAACACGGCAGCT